CCAATACTGGTTTCATTTCTGGGCACTTTACCACAGTGCATTGACAGCTCTACTTTATCTCTCTTTGTTACAGTGTACTTGACTAAAGTTATTGAGTTTTGTAAGTACGGTAAGTGCTCTCTCCTAATTATCTAACAAGCAAATCGGCCTATACTGTTTTTTCAGTCTTTCACATCAGCTCGACATTTCGTTTCCTTAGCAATTTGCATTCTTAAAAGCAACACAATTTCCTCAACAAACTGCTTTGAATTTATCAACTGATGCAGTGCCAAAACATCAGGTTAACAGTGACCTTGAGAGGCTAAACACAGTGCTTTATCCATTCCTGTATTTATTTTTCCCAAGTTAACCTTCTCTTCTGGCAACTGGGGTGACATATGGGCTGAGAGGCCTTGGGATCGATGGGAGGGGAATTCTGTCTTTGTTTCCTGACATTTTTCCCATAGCCACTCACTTTGGACTCAAGTTACTTACTGTCCAGGCCAAAGGAAAGACAGCCGGCACAATCAGAGAAGTAGGGGAAAAGTGATACGCTTCTCTACAGCTTCAGAGGAAACTCAATGCCCGTGACCAGCTCCTGCTACACAGGTTTGTGTTGAATAATACAATAGAGCACCCAGTAGCCTCTCGCATCCGGGGACTGGCATGTAAACAAGACACGTGGAGTGTGTCTGTTTGGGGAGACTGGGACGGAAGTGGACACGATTAGCACGCGACTGCCTCACGTGGTCTTATTCATCACAGCCATGAAACTTAAACCCAAGCGAACCGAGAGAACAGCCGCTGTCCAGGGTGCTGTTACAAGAGTATGAGCTGTTGTGCTCTCAGCCACATCATCATTAAAGGTCTACAGCTAAGTACACTTGGAATTGGGATTTTTTTTCTTTTGATGTGTTTGCTTGGAGTCGAATTGATTTTGCAGAGAGAATTGCGGCTAATTGAATATGTAAACATTAAGTTCACACACTGTGCAACACAACATTGTGAGACCCTCAAAGTAAACACTGGGTCTGTCTTTAGTGGCAATTTATCAACTTAAACTATAAAAAAACACTTTTTGTTACTGGCACTATTTTTTGTTATCACTATACATATAATTTACACCTCCAGTTTTTTGTGTCGCAGCCACTCCTCAAATATATGCACCATTAAAGCTGGGGTATCTATTTAGATGGTTTCATAAATAATACTTATTGTTGTTTAATAATGAACCAGTATTATATAGCGCTCTTTTGGACACGCAAAGGCATCATACGCGAGGCAACCAGTATGTGCCCATGCTCCCTCCAACCACCACCAACTATACAAGTGCATACCAGACACATTCTAGGTAATGCAGGTAAAGTGTCTTGCCTAAGGACCCAAGAACAGTTTGACACTTTTCAGCCGCAGCCACCCCACTGTGGCCCTATCGAAGAAGTCTCCCATCACAGCACTAGCCAGGCCTTGCCCTGTTTAGCTTAAGAGGTCTGACAGGATCTGGCTTTCAGATGCAGGTGGCGCCACTTCAGTTAACATAATAGAACAACTCTTCTTCCTTAAACAATTTTTAAAGCATCAATCATTGGGGAAAAAAGCACTGGTTTATATGAAATCACCATAAAACAATGTTCCAAATGACAGTTGTAGGCTGGGGAACCTATTTGTTATCATTAAGAATACATTTTGTTTTTCCCAACAGAAAGAGTTTTGTCAAAGTAAAACGCTGTGTACAAATCAGACCTCGACATGCCGTCTTTATCTTACTAGAAATATGTTTCTTTTGCATGTGTCTTTTGAGAGATAATTGGATGCTTCGGGGCTGAGAGCTGAGTGGCTGAGCACTTTACACCTTTCCTTCCTGAAAATAGCTGACTTAAAGAAGTGACAAAGGCCAACAATACATGCATATGAAAACTAGTGATGCAACTCAACATGTTTGTGGTTCATAATAAAGACACAGATGAGCTGATTTCTAACATGACCGATAACAAACATGGTAAAATACAATCCTGAATTATAATTAGACAACAGCGTAGTTCCTGGTTAGCAAAGACATGTTGCATTGCGGAGCAGAGATAAGTGCGTAACGGTTGGTGCGTCGGCCTTTGCCCTCTGCAGCTGCTCTCGACAAAGGCAGCAGCAGAGACAGTGCACTGGCTCCCCTGGTGGGAACACGTCAGGCCTCATCACGGTCATCGTCACACAGCCTCCAGTGGAAGCAGGGGCTACGAATGACTGGACCAACCTCATTAACCAAGGGGACACTTATAGGATTTACAAAGGAGGAATAATGCTCTCACAATTGTGCATCAAAAGACATCATGTACAAATTATATGCATTGGAGCAGTATGGTTTAATAACAATACTGGTCCAATATATTTATAGATATTCATCAACATTTGTGGATATTGGTCATCTGCCACCTGACCAATGGCTCTATGCGATTTTTTTTCTGTTTGATTCTCTGATCTGTGTTGACGAATTAAACAGTTTTGTTAAGTCCTCCGAGATAACTACTGTTGTGATTTAGGGTTATACAAGAATGAATTGAATTGAATTGAGCTCTACTATAGGGCTGTAAAAAAGAATTTGGAGACCATTTCAAAGGTTACAAATTATAAACAATAAAATATTCTAACAGCTCATGATTTGGAACCCACAAAATCTGTGGTTTAATCCTCTTCTTCAGCTAAAACCATTGTGTTATTTTATCAATTTCACAGTTATTTATTGAGGTTTTAATTTCTACGTTATGGTAACTTTTCTTAGACAGCTCCTTCCACGACCCGGCATCGGATAAAGTGGATGAACACGGTCGGATGAATAAATGGCTGGTCTTGTTTTGAGTGTTCCCTTCCATTCTTTCTGCAACACTGAAATAGCTTCACTCTCAAATAAAAGGTTTGCTTTTCTCTGATTAAATGTAAGCCTCAAATTGTTGATACCGCTACAACATGATTTGTAAAACACACTCAAGAATTTCTACTTTTCAAGAGTCTCAGGCAAATGGTTTAGTCTTCAGTTAAAGTGTTTGGTGATGAGACCCATTTCCCTTTAAAAAAGAAAACATGTTGATAAAACTATGGTATTTTGCTCCTTTCCACAGATGTGACCTGTAACTTAGCCTACGACAACCTATAGCGCGTCGCTGGCTTGTTTTCAATGTATTGAATTCAATGCTATAATGTGGACTGTTATAAGCAAAACAAAAGCATTCAGATGGACCCAAGCCAAAGGCAGATCCTCCATCCTGAATGCTGAGTTTAGGTCAACATGTTTAACCAAGAACTAAACTAGGGACTTCTTCTAACTTGTTGGTGTGGAGGCAAAGATGGGCTAATTGCATCAGTGATCCGTTTAGAAATATGTAAAGTGACTTAAATGACTTCTCATTTGTTCAGTGGTTTTACATCCACAAATAAAGTGAACCAGAATTGGTCCAGTTGAAGATGAAGAAGATGATAAGCGTGACTGCGTCTTAAGCCAATTAAAACATAAGCAGGTTGACAGTATTTATATGGCAACCCTTGTATTAAACACCAGAATTTAGATATACGCTTAATATAATATAATCATACACCTTAGCCCCTAGTTTCGTGATCTACGACTTGAGCTGAGGAACAATAACGTAAATACAGTTCAGGTCGGTGTACATGTCTACCTCTCCGGAGCTACAGAGTGCCGTCTTAAAACGAGCCTTAATCCTCGTCTGACACAACAGACTTTTAATGAGCTTAGGGCAAAAGACAGAGAGAAGTTATCGCGTTAGCTGGCTTACACTCCAACATGCGGCCAATAAAGACGTCCAAAGTAGCCACGAAAATAAGACAATCTTGCTAATCTCCGGGGATTAAAGCTGCTATTAAGGAGGGTTTATTTAGGACAAGGCATGCTAAAGTTACAGCAGGAGAGTGCAACCTTATGATATCAATAACGGGAGGAAGGGAAGCAGGCAGCAGGCAAAATGTGCTTTTGCCAACCAAGGCCATGCTTGTTGGCAGTGTGAAATTGCATCTACAGTGAAATAAATGCAATCAAGTAGTATATAACAAGATAATAGTAAGAACCAAGATGTGTGTAACCCAATTAAAGTAATTTAAGTTAAATCAACATTGCGAGGTCACTTCTAACCACAATGCCATATTACAGTTAGAGGTGAGCAATGTGTTGTTTTGTGGTCTGGCCATACAAATAAAGGAAATCAATTACAATGTTTAGAATGCAAGTCATATATCTAAAAATGAGATATTTATCATGTGCATTTTATGCTAATATTATCTATCCATCCATCTATCAATAGCCATCTATAGAGACGCAATTAAGGTCAAATTTCCTAAGACCACAAATGTGACAATAATTGCGTCTCCTTGACTAAAGCCTCAAAGTATAGTTAGCACTTTTTTGTTCTGATGAGATGTTGTTTCGCTATTTGTAAAATGTTTACATAAAAGTATGTATTGCACATTTAACGTGATTATTTCCCACCCCTCTGCACAGTTCTAGGAGCGTCAGTGTCATTATTAATTGACAAAGACCAAAAAAACAACAACAAAGGCTGAGTTTCTTAAATGTCTCCTGGCACTTGCTATAGAACAGTCCAATGTATTATGCATTAGAAGAGAACAGTCTGTCAGTGAGAGATGGAGAATGTGTATTTATTTGAGGTCACAATGCCCAGCTTACAAAATCAAAAAGATTATCTGAAAATCTCCAATGAGGGAGTGACTAATGAAATTTTGACAGGAGAAGTGATTACAAAAGGCTGCAGTGACATATTTTGAGCACTGCTGTTGTGTGTGGCTGTCAGAGCGTACCAGAATGACTGTTTAATCCTTCTAATGCCCCCCTCCCACCAACCGTCTCTTCTCTGTGTGCTTCTGCGCCTCTGGGCTCTTGTATATACTCTGTCTACCTCCCTTTTTCACAGAACTAGCAGCAGATAGAGGAAACCAGCATGTTGGTTCAGATTGTGATGGGGAAAACAGTGAATAGTGCAAAGGAGTGCATTTTCTCTTACCTGAATGATAGACATGCGGTTAGTAGGTGTGTCTGTAGTGCTGGTGACTGGGCTTGTGAAGCTGGTGTGGCATCCCACGTGGCCTTGGGGCACGCTGAGGTTATTGGCAGTGGGTTTGAGGTACATAACCTCTGATCTTGGTGAGCTGAGTGGCAGGCGTGTCTGGTAGTCAAAGTACATGGGAGAGGTGGCCAAGGAAGGACTGCTTACCACATTCATCACATTCATGGCATCACGCTCCTCCACCTCGCTCTGCACCAGCATGATGTCGTTCTTGTTGAGCTTCTTCTTCTTGCCCTTCCCCAGCTGAGGGTGCGAGTACTCTGCTATTCGACAATTATAAGTTCGAATTTCCTTGTTCTCCCGCTTGCATTTGATTGCTATAGTCACCATGGCGGCTAAAAGCAATATGGATATTATGCTTAGTGTAACAATCAGAGGCAAAGACATGTCCCAGTTCTGTCTGTCCGTAACATGTGGGGCCCCGCCAGAGAGGGGTCCGTTGGAGGCTTTGATGATTAGCCGTGCCGCAGCTGTGAGAGTGGGCCTGCCATGATCCGACACACGGATGATAAGCTCCACGTTTGGGCTCACCTCCTCCCAGAACGAGTGGGCCGTCCGCACCTCTCCTGTCACTGGGTCCATCTCAAAAAGATTCTCTTCATTGCCCTCCGAAATCTCATAAGTGAGCTTCCCACTGTCGCCGTAATCATTATCCACCGCTCTGACTGTAGTGACAATGTAGCCGACGCCGACGTTGCGGGGGACGTGGATCTCAGCTGTGTCGTTCAGAAGCAGAGGCAGAACTATCACTGGGATGTTGTCGTTCACATCCAACACACTGATGCGTACGGTCGCGTTGCTCTCAAGGTGCGGAGACCCTGCGTCTCTTGCCAAAATCTTGAAATCAAAATACTTAATTTGCTCGTGGTTGAAAGATCTCACTGCGTATATAGCTCCGTTAGCAGCGTTCACATTCACATAGGTGTTAACATCTCCTCCGCTGACATTAGAGTTTATGATGCTGTAGTAAACTGTCCCATTTTGCCCTAAATCCGGGTCATGGGCCAAAACTGAACCGAGGTACTCTCCTGGTATGTTGTTCTCAGCGATTTGCAAAAGATACACAGACTTGGTGAAGCGAGGGATGTTGTCATTTTCATCTAAGATCTTCACTGTAAAGGACTTGGTTGAATTCAAAGGAGGGAGACCATTGTCCTTAGCCACAATAGTGACGTTGTATTCATCCTGCATCTCTCTATCCAAAGGTCTATCTGTCACCACTGTGAAGAAGTTGTCATAGTTTTCTTCAAGTTTAAAGGGAACGTTTCCGAGCACTCTGCACTGGAGTTGTCCGTTTCTGCCCGAGTCTTTGTCCGTAACTCTCACCAGTGCAATGACCGTGCCCGGAGGAGCTGCTTCACTGATGGCCCCCTGCCGCACAGATACAAAGCCTATAGACGGCCAGTTATCATTCCTGTCAAGCACTTTTACTGTGACTTTACAATGACCTGGAATTGGATTGGGGCCGAGGTCTTTTGCCTGAACGTCAATCTCAATCACTGGGCTCTCTTCGTAGTCAATTTCACCCTGTATCTTTATGACTCCTGTCCTGGAATCTATAGAGAACAACTCGCGGATCCTCTCTGGGGCATAGCCACTAAAAGAATACACCACTTGTCCATTGTTGCCCTCATCAGGATCGGTGGCGTTTAAATCAATCAGCACTTTGCCTGGGGGTGAATTTTCAGGGATTTCTACCACATAAGAGGGCTGGTCAAACACAGGGCTGTTGTCATTGGAGTCAATCACTTTTACATTTATTTGCATGGTGCCTGATCTGGGATACTCCCCTCCGTCAGTAGCGGACAAAATAAGAGTATGATGATTTCGTTCTTCTCGGTCTAGTGGCCTTTGAATCACTAATTCAGGAAATTTAGTGCCGTCCCCTCGGGATTTTACCTCCAAGGAGAAGAGATTGTAGTCATCACGTGTTATTTGATAGGTTTTCAGTCCGTTCTCCCCAGCATCTGGGTCATGCGCGCTTGTGAGAGGGAAACGTGTCCCTGGAACAGCATTCTCGGAAATGTCAATATCAATCTGGTCCGAAGGAAAAGTTGGAGAGTTGTCGTTGATGTCCTGGATGTCTATTTTGATCATGCATATCTCTTTGTCATTTGCAAACACCTCCATAGACAGCTGGCACTTGGGATTCCTCTTGCACAAAGTCTCCCTGTCGATGCGCTGCTTTGTGTAGAGCAGTCCACTCTGAGGATCCACGTCGATCAGATGAGGTGCTGAATTCTCCAGCACTCTAAAGTTGGCTTTCTTGCCCTGTCCTTGCCCTGTCTGCTCCAGTCCCAGCCTGGCATCTTTGGCTATGTTCCCAATCACTGTTCCCGGCCCCTGTTCTTCTGGGACCGAGTAATTCAAGTTTTTCAAAGTTAGGGCTTGAGCCCACAGGAGAAGGAAAAAGAAAATAGAAAGATACATCCCCACGCTGTAAATGCTTGCACAGTCCGTTCCTGTTTATTCTGATTGCGACCTGTTGATGTCTCTTTCAGATTTTCCGTAACTCAGGTTCATATAAATAGTTCTGCTCATTATCCGAGGCCTTGGCATTTGTCTTTCTGGATTGTCTTAGCAGCGTTTCTCTCTTCCAGCAATCTGTGGTGCTGAAGACCTAATTCATATTCAGCTGGGTGCTCCGACTCATCTGAGCAATAATCGTGATCCAGGCTCCAAACAGAATAACCATTGTCAACGTTCACTTACACCACCTACAGGGGAAGAGCACAGGAGGGATGTATGTTGTTAATATATGTATGCCATTTTCTTGCACCCAAATAACAGAAATATTCGTCATTCTGCCAGCGAGAAACCAGATCTACCGCTGAGCTCAAATGAAACAGGGCTCATGTGTAATTCATTCCCACAATTATGGGGGGGAGCTTGTCAATTAGTTAACCTTGGGAAGACACTGCGCGCCGCCTGATGCATGGGGAAATAATGATTCGCCTTACAACGTGCATTATGATAAACAGAGGGAAAAAAATGCACTTTTCCCATGTGTGGATTTTTTCTTGTATTTTTTTTTATCTCTGTCTGAAACGTGCCACAAATGACCTGACGCAGGGGGGTAAGGAGCGGATCACACATGATGCTGAATGCAACTGGAATTTAGGAAGTTTTATTATAGAGGCGGTCTATTGTGCAGGCTATGAGAATAACTGTATGAAATGAGCTTCTTACACGCATTAACAAATCCACCTAATCCGGATTTTAGAATGAGCCTTATAAAAATTCAGAATATGAGCTGCCAACATCTCAGCATAGCGGTGTAATGATCTCTTCTGCATTCTTTTTTCTGTCTCTCGTTGTGATATTCAGGCTGTTGCACCCGTACAGTACGCACAAGGAATAGGGGAGATTGTAAAATGTCACAAATAGAAAATCAAATGGAAAGAATGCAACTTACCAAATTAAAGAAAACACACATATCCAGGTGCGTAAAAGACAACAAAATGATTTGAACAGTCAGTCAGCTCCAGTGCGGGTGCCAGCAGAGTTTCATCTCCTGTAACCACTTTCTGTAGCCGTGCCACCCGTATCCCTCTCCGCAGGTGAAAGGGGGGAGCCACAAGCCTCCCACAGAACAGACAGGCACAGTGTAGCGCAGCGAAAATGGGGAAAAAAGTCCTCCAGAAAAGTATGACTGTAATGTCAATGAGGCGAAGTCCTCTCTCCGCTGTCTGCTTAGGATGCAGCGGCTTGCTTTGAGCCCGCAGTGACTCACCACTGTTCAGAAAAGGGGGAAAATGTTCACGGGAAACACGGAGTGAAGAAGGAAAAAGCGTGAAAATCCAGTCAGGTTAATCCAAAGTAAAGTGGTGGATAGCAGTCAACGCTTTTTACGCGTGCGTAAGAGCGGAGACGGGCTGAATCCAGAATAGTGGCATTTTGTCCTTGTGCCCTGTCCTCTCCCCACAAAGTCCATGTACACAGTAAAAACGCTGGAATTGTGACCATCAACGCAAACACGTCTGCCACGAGTCTGTCTGAAGCTGTCAGGATGAAAGCACAAATAAACAGGCGCAGTTTGAGTGAATGGATATTTCCAACACGTAAAGTCGCCTTAAGCACACGGAGCGCTCCTCTCACTGACTGAACTCTGGACACCGCATGGTGCATTAAACATTGTCGCTGCTCCTCCGGCAGCCAATAGATTTGAAGAGGTGGGAAGAGAAGGAGGGATTCAAACGGCGCTCTTGGTACAGACTACAAATGATTGGTGGCCCCCAGTTCACCGGCAGCGCATCTGTATTTTTTCAAATATCACGCTCGTCCTTGTTGTTTACAATAAAGGAAATTGTGCGTTGGATACGGTTTAGAGAAGCGGCAGCCCGGCGTAAGAGGCTTCAAATTCAACTAAATAATCCATCATGAAGACAAGGGGACGGAGGAAATTGTTATTTTCACACAAGTCACAGTTGTGTACCGTTAATAATTGTGTATTAAGTGAAGACCACAGAGCGCACGCCCAATCATTGCTCTGTTTATGCTGTAGGGCTGCATAGGGCATTCACATTTAATAATAATGGTTTCATTCTGTGGGTCAGTGTTAGTGACAATAATGGGATGTTTCTGTATAATAGTGTTTGAGGATTGTTTTCTGTTTTATCAAACTTCAATAAGAGCCACCAGACTGCCTGGAAAAGCAGAGCACATTGACAAACAAACAATAGAAGTATGGAAGATAAAAAGAATCAAGACAACAAAGAGTGAAACGTATGGAATCAAATAGGTCCATACAACGTGGAAAATATTCTACATTGTAATTGTCAAACAAAGGCTGAAGACAGTTGAGGAAAACACTGAACACATGGACTACAGAACACAGAAACTCCTGTCATGTAATGCAGTACATTCAATCAGAGTTCTGTTTTTCATGAAAAAAGAGGTGGAAATACATGCCTATAGAACAACTCCTTATACACAGCGGTGGAAAACTACTACTGTAGCCACAGCTGCCCTGCGGCAGACTGAGCCATTGGCCCCACTACCAACCATTGATGCACAGCAAGGTGAGGTGTCTAAGGAGACACAACAGTTTGGCACTTTACAGGCGCCCAGTGTGGCAGCTGCTGTTCCCAGAGGTCTCCCATCACAGTTCAAAGTTCTGAGGGCTGATGGGATCAGGTTTTCTTATGCAGGTGACGGCTTAACCAAGTAAAAAAAAAAAAATACATATATGTATGAAATCCCCTTGGTTAAAACTACAATCATTGGAATTATTCCCATTTTTAAAGTATTATGGAAAAAAATATATATATGTATCCTTATTATGAAGGGAGATTTGTGTTTTTATTTCTGAAGATTTTACTTAACCCCTTCACACAGGGATGTGTTTGATGGCATATGACAATAAACACAACACATTTTACACCTAAACAAAATGGTTATCTGAACTTAGAAGTGCATCTAACCATAATTAGATAATTAAATTAGAAGCACAGGAAACCACGTCAAACCATTTCATAAGTTGGTGTGTGCAAAGTCGAACGGTCTGTATGTAGAAAGTAAGTGGGCAGAAAATAAAGTAGTAATATGAAGTAGTAAAAACATACTGACATATTGTCAGTATGTACTCCCCTACACTGGCAGTAAAAGTGAAACAGATGTTTTACAAAACTGGCTGCTTTGTGAATGCATCCATATTAGAAAAACATATTCAAAACACTTTTGAGACCTCTTACAATTATTGCATTTATTCATATTGTGAAAAGCTAAGGTTTATACACAAGGCAACTCAAAGTGCTTAACAAAACAAGATAGAAAAAAATCACACGAGGCATTCAAATCATAAATAATCACAGTACATAGAATTTGCGAGGGGCAACGATGCGAGATCCTGAGATCTTCTGATTTTGGGCGCAGTCATATTGTCTATGGATGAATGATGTCAATATGAACTTTTATAACTGTGTATGAACTTCGGATCCAAACAATTAAACTGAATAAATCAGTGCAAGAACCTTTATCCTTTTGAATGGAATCTGTTGTGCAGCGATTGGCCTCAAATCTCAAAGGGAGAGATTAGAGCATGCTTCTGTTCAATACATAACTGTAAATACATTCACATTAGCATGCACGGAATGAGATGTATGGACAACATGTCATTCGCACAACCTCGCTCCATCCCCGGCGGCTGAAGAGATGAATATTCAAAAACCGAGATCAAAGCGTACAAGCCTTTTGAGAACGTCTAGAAGCTCACTTATAGATCATGACTCAAAGAGAAGTCTCAAATTACACTCAGCAGGATACACGCTGTCACTATGTTTCAAAATGCCCTTTGTTTTGGGCAGCGATTTCAACACGTCAGCTTTGTCCTGGATGAACATGGGTCTCCACCTTCTGATTCTTCCCCTGACCTTTACATCCTGACAGTGGCCAATGACAGCAAAGGCAGAATTTGCTCATTATAAAACAGCAGCTTTGATGTACGAACGTCTAGATGCTGATATTAACTGATGAAGGTAAATGTCATATCACTGTCCGGGATGTCACCTGGGTGCGTCTGCTGAAATCGTGCAATGTGAGGTCACGGTATGAGACTATAGGGCAGTGGTGAACAAACTTGTTGAAAGATGACTGTAGTAAGCCAAAAATGCAGAAAACTACTAAAACTTGAAAAAAAATGAGGGCGGGAAGGTGGCTCATTGGATAGCATTCAGCCAGAAGGTCCTGGGGTCGAACAGGGCCTTTCTGAGTGGAGTTTGCATGTTATCCTTGTCTGTGTGGAGTCTGCATGTTCTCCCTGTGTCTGCGTAGGTTTGCTCTGTGTGCACTGGTTTCCCCTACCACCATGAAAATCCTCCAGTTCTGGTCCTGATCAACCCGAGCATCAGCAACTGGAGATGGTTCCGGGGGCGCTGCTCCTGAGAGACGCCCGAGTGGCAGATGGGTCAAATGCAGAAGACACATTTCCCAAAAGGACAATACAGTAGAACTAACCAACTAAAACACACAAGCTGTTACCTTGAGGCATAACATAGACTCCCTTGAAAAATCTTAATGGGACTTTCCTGGTTAAATAAAGGTGAAATAAAAAACATAGGCATTCAGCTTTGACTAGTGACTTCTGAACAAATCCAAGTTTTCCGCTCGGTTCAATTCTCAGTCATTTAGGTTTCAAAATGTGTCAATGTCCCATAATGCACCAAGCCACGAATTTGCTGTGGTGTCTTCAGTCTTGCTTATTGTGTATCCTTGCACTGATGGGATCGTGCAATATCATGGTATATTCTTGAGTTGAAACTGTGCAGACGATTGTCCTGTTGTCTTGTGTGTTTATGTCCAACAGCTGTGAGCCCATGAAGTCAAATCAGATTGAGAATGTAAAGTCCATTTGCAGTCAAAAACACATTGGGATGTTTTTGCCAAAGCGAAGACACACAAGAACTCATTACACATATACATTTCATTGTGTA